GGAGCTGGCGCCGCGGAGCTGTCCCGTCCCGCGGTGGCTCCCGCCGCTGCTGCTGCTGCTGGGCCTGAGCGCGGGTAGGTTTGTGCAGAAGTCACACCAGCGGCCGGTGCCTCCTTTGACTCTAGGGATGAGAGTTCGTTAATGGGTTTGTGCTTTTCAAAGCAAATCTTTTTTTTTCCTGATTCTTAACCTTGAGTAATTATGTTGCTCTTAAATCTCACTCTTATTTTTTAATTTAGAGTGTTCTTTCTACCCTTTTCTAGCTCTGGGTGGTCTGGTGTTTTCTTTCTTTCCTACGCCTAGGTAGAAACGGTTGTGCAAGAGTGTATGATTTGGGGAAACTGCTGATCAATGAGGTTTCCACGATCTTAAGGCCACCTCCCTTTTCCTGCTCTGATTGGCTGCTATATGAGGTCATAAGGTCTTTTGATTTTGAGCTGAAACGTGGTCAAAAAGATCCTTTAGGGCCGGCCTGTGGCTCACTTGGGAGAGCATGGTGCTGACAACACCCAGTCATGGGTTAAGATCCCCTTACTGGTCATCTTAAAAAAAAAAAAAAGGATCCTTTAAAAATCCTACCAGGACTAGCCGGTTAGCTCAGTTGGTTAGAGGGTAGGGTTCGATTCCTGAACTGGCCAGCAGCCAAAAAAAAAATCCTATCAGGAACAGGCCATTTCATTGAAATAAGGTGTTTCCCTCTCCTTGAGAAGAACAGACAAGGTAACACCTCGCCTCACAGTGATCCCTTTTATGTGCAATAAGATGACTTGCAAATTGATTTTCATTCTTCATTCAGCAAAGTGTCTCCTGGTCTGAATCAAGAACTGAGAATTCGAACAGGCCACAAACTTGTCTTGTGATCTTAAGCAACTTGCTTAACAGTTCTTGTTTTCCCTTTTGTAAAATGGGGATCTTCTGACCTTTCAGCTTGTGTCTGGGAAATGTTGCAAAATATGTTGCCCTCCAAATTTTAACAGGGGCCACTGCCAGGGGTTAGGTCACAGGAGGCCAGAGCCTTATGGTTATTCTCAAGAGACCCCAGTCTTAACTGTCATTTTCCAGGAGACTGTTGATCTTGTATTATTTGTATATAGAACCTTATAGCCACATCTTGCTAGAGTACTTCAAAAAGTTCATGGAAAAATAGAACTGAAAGATAATACAAATCTTTCCATGCACTTTTTGAGCACCTCTCCTTCTACTTGCCAAAAGACTTGAAATTTGAGAAAGGAGGATGTACAGAGCAGAAAACTGCAGCCACCAACGAGATTCCTCCTATCATCTTTTTTTTTATCTTTTTCTGTGTCCGGCAATGGATCGCAACCCTCAGTGTTGATCGCAACCCTCGCTCAGCCAGCCAGTGAGCGGGAGCCGGTCTGTATGTGGGATCCGAACCGCAACCCTCAGTGTCGATCGCAACCCTCAGTGTCGATCGCAACCCTCAGTGTCGATCGCA